GATAAATTCCTAGGATTGTATGTGATTTCTTCTGCTCAGTTTTATATCACCTGTCCTCTATTGGTGTCCTTTGCATAAATCTTTATTTTTCTAGCTATTATAAGGTGTGATTTTAAAGATGTCCATAAATACACCTGTACTGCTGCTACCAGGTGGCTGTTGCGCTGCAGTTTCAGGGAAGGATTTTACCTTTGGGTAGTCACTTTTAGCACAGTCCTTCTGAACACGCACACATGCGCATGGAGGAACCGCAGAATTTGGTAGCAGCAAGATGTGATGCTAGTGTGACTTATCATGCAACCCTTTCATGCAGAGATACTGTAAATATCATCTTTGTTGTGTCATTTGAGATGGTGAAGCCAAGCAAGTAGAGCTTATGGAAAGTGCTTATGATCCAGGGTTCGGAGCAGTCACTTCACTTTTTGTTTTCCATAAAGCTTTGAAAAGAAATACTTAACACTGACGTGCTCACATCTCTGAGTAGTCTTGTGCTGATGTGGGTCAATCAGTGGATTCCTGAGTCTTTAAAAGGTGGCTGTAGGCATTGATGGGGCTTCAACTTGCTATGACCAGAGAAGCAAAACAGTAAAACTTGTTTGTAAATGCTTTTCTTTGGAAGCTTTAATTTGGCTGTGACAGCTGATGCAGCAACAGGTTCAGGTCAGATTAAATGGGGTTTGTGTTTGGTTTGTGGGCAAAAATAGGTTTTAAGTTTAATGCAAAATATTAAACAAACCCACAATTTTTTTTACTTACTTTTTTTTTTTTTAATAAGCAGAAGGAGCTTTTCCTCCCTTTGCTCATGCTCTCTGCAGTAAATCCCTCTGTTCTCCCCATCAGGATTGATGTTGGAGCGCGAGAGGGCTGACTCCAGAGCTGGATGCACACTCCAGCTGGGGCTCACCACAGCAGAGTAAAGGGACAGAATCAGCTCCCTTGACCTGCTGGCCCTCTGGATGCAGCCCAAGATAGGACTGGTCTCTGAGCTACAAGTGCACATTGCCCACTCATGTCCAGTCTCTCATCCACCAGTATCCCCAAGCCCCTCTCCTCAGGGCTGCTCTCAAACTTCTCCCATTTCAGCTGGGCCTAAATTACTCGTACTTTAATACCAGGGATGTGCAGTAGGTTTTATCTTCTGCTGCAAGATCCTGCTTCTCTGATAGAAGACCTCAGCTAAATCTGTGTTGCGAGTTTAAATGTGGTTTGCAGTGCAGCGTTCCAGAAATATCCTTTGAAAGGTCACTGCAGCCCTTCAGCCGTTAGCCAGCTTCTCCCGTCCTCTCCCTCGTATCCCGGGATCCTCGCTCCTTCCCCGTTTCCAGGCTTATTTAGTTGAAATTGTTCCATGCATAGCCAGGAAAATGGGAGGTGATAGAAATCTCCAGCTTGAACGGCAAAGGGGGTTGCAGGTGGGTCATCTGCTGGAAGTTTTTGTGGTCTTTGGAGCCTACTGAGAGCTGCCATTGGATTGTCAGCGCTCTGAAGACCTCCTTAGCTGAGGAGTTAGTTTTCTCTGGCAGCAGTTCTGCCTTTAGAAATTCATGACTAGTTTTCAGCCCTGCCCCATACAGCGTGCGTTTCCATTGCGATTCCTTTGTGGGGAGAAATCCTTTAACATGAAGGTGAAGAGCTGTTCTGAACCGCAACAGAATGTTGGTGGGGGCAGAGGGGTGGATGGGTGTTCCTGTGCAGGGTGTTGGTGGTAGCAAGGGCATTCTGGCCTGGGGAACCTGATTGAATGGGCTTCTGACTTGACTGGTGATGGGTGGGAGCCTCCCTGTGCTTTCTTCCCATGCCAGCCCCAGTGCAGCTGCGAAGGAGAAGACCCTGCTCAGACCTCCTGAGCACCCCAGCACTTCTGGTCTTAACTGCACATTACATCAAAGGACCGGTTGCTTGCTGAGCTTTGGGCTGTGTGCTTGGTGAAGTGGCCTGCTCCCCTGAAACCTGACTGCAGCAAGAGACCTATAGATCATAGAATCCTACAATGGTTTAGGTGGGAAGGGACCTTAAAGCTCCTCCAGCTCCAACCCCTGCCACGGGCAGGGACACCTTCCACTAGAGCAGCTTGCTCCAAGCCCCTGTGTCCAACCTGGCCTTGAGCACTGCCAGGGATGGGGCAGCCACAGCTTCTCTGGGCACCCTGTGCCAGCGCCTCAGCACCCTCCTAGGGAAGAGCTTCTGCCTAAGAGCTCATCTCAATCTCCCCTCTGGCAGGTTAAAGCCATTCCCCTTGGCCTGCTTCTCCCAAGCTGCACCATCCAATTCTCTGGCTCAGAAATGGCTCCTGCTGGTTGGTGTGACGGGGCAATGGCTGGCACAGGGGGATGGGAAAGGAGAGGCTCTTGACATAATCCAAATTGCATTGCCTTGGGCTTTGAAATGATGACAGAAAATTTTCCTCCTCGCATTTGTTCTCATTTGGCTGCAGCATGTTCAGCAGGATGTTTTTCAAGGAGGGTCCGGTCAGTGTTGGCAAAGGAAAGTCTCTTGTTTCCCAGGCATCCTTATCACTTTGTCCTTGACGACGATGGGAACTTTCGGCACATTTCTTTAATTCAGAGACACTCCTGAGCCCGCCTGCCCTTGCAGCAGCTCTGTGCTGCCTTTCCTGTGTGCTGAGTCACACAGGCAGATAAAGCTTCCCCAAAACGTTGTTGGCTTTGCAGATGTTAGACCTGGGAAAGTTGGGTGGGAGGTGGAGGAGGGTTGATGTCTGAGCTATGGACTGAGCAAATCCTGCAGCTCAAATACAGCACCTGCCATCACTTGGGAAAATGTCTTCTGGTGTAGGATGAACAATAACATCTTGATATTATAAGCAACTTCAAACCTGGAGAGGTTTGTCTGGAATAGAGCAGGTTTGATGGGGTGATGCTGCCTAACCACAGGAGTGCTGAACGGTTTAGATCCACAGGATAAAATGGAGGCTGCACATGCAGAGAAGCAGCTGATGGTTGCCCTCTGCCCTCCCTTCATGTGACTACGTGATGGTTTAGGCTGTGGGACATGGGTGAGGAGCTTGTATTGTAAGAAAGATCTTTCTTGTATTTCCAAAGTACAAGGTTTTGTAGGTGCTGATGCAGTCTTACATAGGGATATGCTGGAGATGACAGAGTGCTTTTGAGGCAGCCTCAAAATGTGTGCATCAAAAGGGTGATGCTTCAGTCTCCCAACTCTCTGGGAGATTAAAGCCTCAAAAAATTTCCTTTGTGCCTTCAGAACTTCTGATTTGGGGATTGTTATCTGTACCTGTGATCAAACTGGTTTTATCTCTGTATCTAGCTACAGTGCTTGGCACTTGGTAAGGTTTGAGGACGTAAGCAGCCTGCCCAGCTAACACACATTCCAACAGCTAACACCTGCTGCTGCAGGCAGGGGGGTTGTGGAGGAAACCGTCCCCTTTCAAGTGCTGGTGTAAAGGCAATGGCCAGCTGAGATGTATGGGTGCTCCTGAGAAGCTGCAAGAACTAATGGCACCTATTGGCACTACCCTTGCAAGCCCAAGGGTTTCTTCTACTGTCACAGGGAGGTTTTGGAAGTCCAAGGAATGTCAGTTTTTGTGTCATCCTCTTTTTCTTAGAGGAGATACTTGGGAAGTTTCTTGTTTGAAGGAATACCTGAAAGATTAATTAATAAGGGCCTTGTCCTTTTGATAGGACTTCTTTAACCCTTAACCAGCATGGAGACGGGGTTGTGATGCATAAAAATGAACACAAAAATAGTGTGTCTTGCTCACTGAACACTGTGTTTTAACTTCTGCTTTTGTTTACGGTGCATTAAACTTGGATGCTCCAGCAGTGCTGCTGCACAGGGATGCAGTGCGGGATGTGCTGGGGTGGCATGGCTGCTGTCCACAGCCTGGTCCCAAAAGACAAGCTAGATTTATTAGGGCAGTGATCAGTAGTGGGGAAAGTGCTAGAAGTCTAACCAGAGCAGTGTGCTTTGCAGTGGCATTCAGGTTTTGGCCGCTGTCCTCCTGATTTATCATGCACAAAAGAAGCCATTCCTACCTGCAGAGTAGAAGGCAGCTCAAAGGTGATGTGTTCATGCACTTGGCAAGAAGCCCTGGCTGTGTATTGCAAGAAAATTAGAGCGTAACAGTCAGCAAGAAAGCAACTTGGTACCTTAATGTGGCTTCTAATTTTCAATGTTAAAAACCCCAACCCACCAACCACTCTTGGCATAAGCCTTTTACCTGCTTTGATTTCCAGGGCAAAATTAAAGTCAGCAGTTGCGTGAGGCTGAGGTTGGCTTAAAAGTTTCCTTTCTCTGTTAAAAATAGTTGTAGGAAAAATTTTGCTCCCTTTCCTTTTCACAGAAGATCATCTGGGCTGCAGGCAGAGCTGCCATCTGTACAGCTTAGTAATGGAGCCAAGGTAGGACCTTGTATTATAGAATCCCAGCCTGGTTTGTGTTGGAAGGGACCTTAAAGCTCCTCCAGTTCCAACCCCTGCCACGGGCAGGGACACCTTCACTAGAGCAGCTTGCTCCAAGCCCCTGTGTCCAACCTGGCCTTGAACACTGCCTGGGATGGGGCACCCTCTGTGGTTCCTTGGTTGGGACTGCACCAAATGCGCTTAAAGTATTTATGGAGGTGGTGATTCTGGACTTGTTTCAATGACTATGCAATGGCCAAGCATTGAGATGCTCTGCTCCAGGGACTGAAATTGCAGACTTCCTATAGCATACGCACTAATTCTCTTACTTTGGTTAGTGCTTGCTTTTGTGGGTACCTAGACTGATCCTGCTGTTTCAGGCTATATATTTTATCTCTGTTCTTGCAGTGGAGAAGTGCACTGAGTCTGAAGTTGAGGCCTCTTGCATAGTATTTCCCAGGGTTTGGACCTTGCAGCACATGTGGAGCACTGGTCTGGCATACTGGAGGACAGAAGGATGCAGCTGGTTTCCATTTTGGAGCCTCCAGCAGGAGCATGCTTGTTGAGCAGTGATGCTGCGGGGCTCAGAGGTTAATGCTTGTGTTTCTCTTTCTGCAGAGATCATCGATGACCTCACTAACCTGGTGGAAAACACAGATGACAAGCTTCGCACCCAGACGCGGCACGTGAAGATGGTGGACAAGAAATCAACGTCCTGTGGTAAGAAATGGCTTGAGCACAAATCCTGCCCTGGTTTTAAATTATGGGAAAGTAGCTTTGGCACTCAGAGGCTGTGTGCAAGGCGCTCCCCCCAGGGGCAGCTTCTTTGAAGTGTGAGGAGAACCCACGTCTCCAAACAGCCAATACTGTAGGTTTCACTCACTGCATTTGCTGCATGTTGGTGCAGTTCATTTCCTTAAGCCATTTGGCACCAGCATTGCACAATATTCTGATTGGAAATTGTAGAGCTGTATGAAATGAGAGCAGTATATGTTGATGAACTTTAGCAAAACTTGCTAGCTACCAGCTCTCGCAAACTGGCCATAGTGGGAGTGATGCCGCAGGGACAGTTCTGGTGGTGTCCTGCAGGAATGTTTTCTCAACCAAGAGGCATTCAGACATGAAATCACAGCTGGTGACTGTGTGCAAGCTGGTCAAGCTAAATTGTTGCCCCGTTCCATAGAGAGGGTGTGCATCTCAGGCGAGTGAATGCAGGTTTCCTCTGTGGGATGGAGAGCTGGGGGGTTGACAGCAATGACTGTGGGTGATGGCAGAAAACGTCTTTTTGTTGGGAGGACAACTGACAGGAGTGAAGTCTGTGGGAAGGTGGTGGTAGCGAGACACTTGTGTCTTACTGCGTGTCTGGTTCTGTGTCTGTGGCTTATTTTTGCCGTACTAGAAGACTCAAACTGCTAACAAGGGTAATTTATGCTCTGTATAAATTTGACTTCTGGCCAGAAGTTCATGAAATTTGATTCATGTAGTTTAGGAGAGAGAAAGTTGAGAGCTGACTTGATCATGTGTCTGTTTTAGACTGGTGGGGAGCTTTTATTCTGTAGTGTGATGGTCCCAGCAGCAAAAGCTACTGAGCTCTGGCTGGCAGTGAGGCATGTTCCAGGCAGTGACAATGTATTTCAGGGATTTATTTAGTTCTTCATCAGTGGTAACTTTTTGAAAGCTTGGACGATAAAGGTTGATGAAAATCTGTGACTTCTTCTAGAGGATGAAGTTGACTTCCCAGAGGTGTTTGTCTCCAGTGTCTCCTGTAGCAGCTACAGATAGAATTGAAGTTGTGGCTGCAGAGTTCATGACCGAAGTTTGAATTTTAGATCTTGAATGTTGATGCAAGATGGATTTAATCTAAAACCACTTGCACTTGAATGCTGCAGAGTGCCCCTGCGGGCCTTTGGAGTCTCCCCTTAGTTCCTGTGCTTTTATTTTCTGCATGAGTACAGAGAAGCACAAAGTGAATCCCATTTCATACAGGACAGCTTCTCCCTCCTTAGGTATTTCTATCCGGTTTTTAGGTTCTTCATGCAAATGCAGCCCCCAGACAATGGCAGTGTTGCTGGATAATGAGCCTGTCTCTTTAACTCTGAAGCCCATGCTGGCTGCTGGGGAATTTGAGAGGAGGAGGAGGATGGGAGAGGCGAAGGCTGGGAGGATCCTGGCTGGATTCCTTGGGGGTGACCTCTCTCACCCTTTCCACATTGAAAAACATTTTTTCTGCAAGGGATGGTGAGAAGCGCTGCACTCGGTGCCGGTTCCCTCTGCTCCAATAGGTCTTCCTGTGTTTGCATAACAATTTGGGCATATGTAAACACTCTTTTGCCTCAGATAGCAGCTGTATTCTGCCTGAGCATGAGGTTAAGAACAATAAAGCTGGAAGACACAGGCTTTAATGGCATTCTTCCCGTCCCTTTTCCACCCTTATCCCTGGCACTGAAAGTTAACTTGTATATTAAGATCAGAAAAACCCTCCGTGTATGTACAATTATTCCTTGAGCAAAGCCAAGCAGTGGGAAAACTGGCACCTGCTAGGTAATTCTCTCCCCCTAACCCAATGTGTAATTTAAATCAATAAAATCTTTAGTAACTCTTTGGTTTGGGCATGCTCCTTTGGTTTTAAACTGCGGTGAAATGCTTAGTCTCCCCCCTTGCCCACCCTTTCCTTCCCCAGGATGCAGATATTTGCTAGGACCTGGTCTCTGCACTATTCAGGCATGTGCCTGTTTCCGTGTTTTTGCCTCATTTTTGAAATCAAAATGTATTTTTTTTTAATGGTGAATGCCTGTACTGGAGCCACTGGCTGTGGATACAAGCGGAGCAGCCTGGCTTGAATAGTGGAATAATCACCCTTTTACAAGGAAGAATGCAACGCATTGATGGGTGTGTCTTTGTTAGCAGCCAGTATAACAATAAAATCAAAATATTGCTGATGAAACCCAATTTCATCAATGTTTCAACATCTTGCTCTCATGCAAACATTATTTCAAGCTTTGGAGGTTGTTTCCAGTGACTGGCATGATTTATATTGGAGCCGTCCAGCCTGGTGCTACCTGCTCAGCATAGGCATCACTTGGTGCAAGACATTGCAGAGAGCAGCACCCGCACCTCTGGCCCTACTCAGTCCTGGCAGAAGCCTTCAGATTGTTTGAGGTGGTTTGTTCCGTTTGCAGCTTATTCTCAAGGCTTATTTCTCTTGCTGATTAGAGCTGTTGACAGTCCCACCCCTTGCTTCTGCCCAGTGAAGGCTGCCCGGGTTGGAACCCATCTCGGTTGGTGGCCCCAGGCAGCCCCAGACTGGGGTCAGTGGCAACTCCCAGTAATTGCAGCAGAAGAATAATCCTGGGATATGCTCAAATCTGCTGCATTTATGAAATTATTGTTGAAAATAACTGGTCATTTGCAGGCAAATGTTTGCATGCTGTTTGGCATTGTTTTATTTCTTTTCCGCATACGCTGGATATTTAGGAGGGATGTTGGGTGTATGTATTTCTTAGACTTCAGAAATAGGCTGAGGCCAATTGTCTGAGGTTCAGCAAGGCTCAGTGCCAGGACCTGCACTTGGGTCACAACAACTCCATGCAATGCTCCTGGCTTAGGGAAGAGTGGCTGGAAAGCTGCTTGGTGGAAAAGGACCTGGGAGTGCTGATTGATGGAGCTGACCATAAGCAGTTTGTGCCCAGTCAGCCAAGAAGGCCATCAGCATCCTGACCTGTATCAGCACCAGTGTGGCAGCAGAGCTAGGGCAGTGTTCATCCCCCTGTACTGGGCACTGGTGAGGCTGTACCTTGAATCCTTTGTTCAGTTCTGGGCCCCTCACTACAAGAGAGACATTGAGGAGTCTGCCAAAAGTCCATGGTTCTTTCTGCTTGCAATTGGCCTCATCCCAGAGGAGGAAGTCTGTCGTTGTCCACAGCTACGTCTGGCTTATCTGGATGGTGCTTTTTGGTAACTGTCCCCCATCCTTGAGTTTTGTAGATTGTATTTTTTCTTTTTTGCCTAAAGACATAGGTAGTCAGCTCCCTGCAGAGAGGATGGTTAAACCAGGCTTTGGTTATGGTAAGAGCATCCTGAAGTGTTTGTGTCTGAATCAGATACAGGGATTTTAGTAACAGAGGACACAGCTGGGAGCCTGATTCCCAGATGTGACATACACAGAGGCTGCTGCAGCCAAGAACAGAAATGTTCTTCAGGTCCTGCTAAACCTGGCTTGTGAACCATGGCTCTGCGAGGTGATCTGGGGAATCAGAGTTGTCCTACTCCTGATCACAGAGCCATAGAATCTTGTTTGGGTTTGGAAGGGATCCTAAAGGTCATCATCACCTAAAGTTCCAACTCCCTGCCTGCCATGGGCCTGCCCAAGGCACTCCTTTAGGTGACTCTCCCATAGCTGAGGAGGGAGGCTGGTGTCCTGAGGAAGCAAGACAGAAGATTATGACTGTCATAATAAAAACAAACGAAAAAGAGCAAACTCTTATTTCTGACTTACCCATGTCCTTCCAAGCAGTGTGAGGAAAGCAGACCATGTCTTTGCAGTTAGCACTGTGTGGATCCCTCTAACCTTCCAGATAAATGAGGAAAATGAGTACCTGTGTCCTGGGAAATAAACGCTTGCAGAGTGGTGCCTGAGCAAGTTTGTTCCTCTCTTTCTTTTTCTCCTATTCCACAAGATGGCATTGCAATCTAATCACCTTCCCCAGCCCCAGGTAGATGCTCTCATCTCCCCTCTGCTTTCTGATGCAGGTTTTGGGAGATACTGAGTAAATTTGGTTGGTACCAGGTAGGGTTTTTTTTAATCTTAGCAAATCGCCAAATGACTGGATTAACGACAAAGCTTTGCCAAGCCTTTAATAGGGTTTTTAGGAAGATTTAATTTGATTTTAAACAGAGTAGCCTGGATTATATAAGGTTTCCTCTAGAAAAGAATGATTCATGCAGGCTGAGACCTTCTTCTGCCAGATTCTACAATCACTCTGTTCTGAGTTACGGGGTTTTTGCCGTGGATGTAATTTGGTTCATAAATTACGGGTGGCAGTTGCTTAGGTTTGTTCCTCTGACGTTCGCTGTGTGTTTAGATGAGCAAGTCCCCATCCATTTAGTTGGTTCTCAGTGGAGAAGCTGGTGCAACGTGCCATTAAATCAACTTTTCCTGCAATCCGACTCTCGGAGCAGTTACACTGATCTTCCTCCCCAGTGTTGCTCTGACAACTGCACTGGCTCTGAGTCACCTGTCTCTGCTTCTATGGGATGAGTTCTCTTGGCCTGGCAAGTTACACATTTTCCTGATTTATAATTTTTTTTTCCCTTCCTTTGCTTTCTTCCATCCTAAGCAGTTACACATTGAAAAGCTTGTTCTGAGCTGTTACCCTGTGAGGAAGCTTTGAAAAGAAACTTTAACAGAAGAACAATGAATCTGTTGTTTAAATTTGGTTCGTCTCTGGTGGATTGGGCATGTCTTAAACACACCAACGTTTCCATCATCCCCAGAGCAAAGCAGCCCAGGGAGGTGGCTGAGGGGGCTAAACAGAAGACAGAGTTTCATCTGGGCTTTTCTATCTCCTCATTCCCTTCTTCTGCAGTGCTCACTTGCTGCCAGCCTGCCAGGGAATGCCAGGAGGCCAACAGATCTCGCTGCAGGATCTGAAAGAAGTGCTACAGAGGGGAGACTGAGCTGAGCTCTTAGGCAGAAGCTCTTCCCTGGGAGGGTGCTGAGG